CCCCTGTCCCGTTCATCACACAAAGTAGGAGACTGGCAAAAAAATGTCAGTCCAGGCAAAGTGGGTTTTAGGTTAATTGACCTCGCGGAGAGAGAACAGCTCCCTCAGCCACTGGGAACACCAGCTTCCGCCGGCAAGAGGTTTCATCATTTCTGAGCTTCGAGGGAAGGTGCTCAAATGCCGGCCATTTCAAGCCCATTTTCAATTATAGGGCCAAGGAATTTAGGACATTAATCAAGAAGTGAAAAAAAAAAAAAGAAGAAGAAGGAGAAGGAAGCCATTTTGGTGTAATACTCTGCCAATCACAAGGCCAACTCCAGGTGCTGGAGCAACAGCAGGGGCCATTTTTTACCCTGCGAGTGTCGTTAAGTGTGAGGATGAAGGGCAGGTGGAGAGGGAGAGGAGCTGACTGGGTTTCATTCGTCTTGATGGATTACAACATTCAAGAAGGAAAGTTTTCCTTCATCCCTTCACACTTTGTGGGAAACCAGAAGCCATCTGAAGATAACATGGCATTCGAGCCAAACGTTTGTGTGGCTTTGTGCTTGCTGTTCCTTGTCTTAGCTCCCAGGGACCAAGTGAGTGAGTCGCCGCCTTGTGTGGCTGAGGGACCTGCTGCTCGGCCCCTGGAACCCCACTGGGGTGGGAAGAAGCTGGGCACGAGAGGGGCAGGTGGGCAGGCCCCTGTTAGCCCCCAGAAGCTGGGGCGCAGGCTGGGCCACCCCCCAGCCTCCCGCGTCTCTGAAAGGGGCTCCAAAGCCTCTCCCCTCTGGGTTTTGGGAGTGTTGAGTCTCTGTGCAGAGTGGTCACGGTGCCAAGAAAGGAACCTGGGGCTTCACTGTGGGTCCGGCTCTGCCTTTCTCCAGCCACGAGCTTGGGCCTCCGCCCCCTGTGAGAACCCCCATTCCCAGAGGACAGGATGGATGTATCAGGGGCAGGTGGATGTACCCATACTTTGTAAACTGTGAAGTGCTGAACAGCTGTTGTTAAAGTGACATGGGAAAGGGAGTTGGTTCTAGAAAGGCAGGAACACCATTCCAAATGTCTGGGCTCCACCCCAAACCGGTCCTAGCCCCCCCCTCCCCCAAGCATCTACATTCACGTGGGGATTACCTACTCTGAGCCAC